ATCAATCCATAAAAACCTTCTGATATAAAATCTTTCTGGTATTTAAGAAGAGTAACTAACTCCAGAGTTTGTTTTCTTTAAATATATGCTACTATCTAAAAAGGAATTGAGATTTTCTGTTCATTTTGACATCAAAACATCATTAATGTCATTTCAATCGTTCTTAATATCCATTTTAATGTCAAAATGGCGACAGATCGTCAGCTTACTGCTCGGATAATGATTTGATAAGCACACAAAACTTTATGGCCGAACTTTTTTGTCTCTGTGTATGGTTGAGAATTATTAAGCGAGTAAATTAAGCAGATCGACGTGGCATGAAGTGCAACACGTGGTATTCTTCGGTAACAATGACATCTTTAATAACCGGTTCAACAACATTACAGTGTCATAGGATTCCAATTACATACGCATTTCAAATTACTTGGTTTTTCATCAAATAAATATACATACATACATGTATCTTTACGTATAGAATCACGAGTGTATGTATACATGTACCTGTTTTATATGATTTGTGTGTCGTGTATGTATACATGTAGCATATCCTTTATATGCGTGCGTGTATGTGTGTGTGTGTGACGCGCAAAGTGCGGATGTATTGCAGTTAAGTTACGCTACGCTTACGGATAATCTCAGGATGCACGATCGCCTCTTCATCGCGCACGGATAATATGCGTTATGCACGAATAATTAGATACATATAATCCCGGTGACCACATTTCTCCACATTCTGTCTCTCGCTTCTCGTGTTTCGCACATTGCGACGTTCTGTCGTAACGGACTGCTCCCGTCTCGCCGTCCTCCTTCTCGCAACACTTGGGAATATTAGACTCGGTTTCGAAGTGAGAAAAATATCGCGTTGGGAAACTAAACGCCCGGTGGTTTCGCTCTAAACGTCGTTCCCGATAGTGCTGAGCAAGGTTTCGATATACAGAACGCACTATGCGCTCGTCTTGCACGACGTACGTCACCGAGGAAGCTATACTTACACATTTGCAATTTGAGAGGCTAATTATATTTCCAGGAGACTCAAGATCAATTTAGAATGTTTCCCAAGTATAGGAGAAGCAACGAATAATCCGTGAATTGTCTGATAATTATCTACAGATTACCATTACTTAGAATTTAGGATTCTTTCTGTACACAATAGGGAAAACTCTCGCCATTTTCGCCCCGATTTAATAAATATAACAAATAATACATCATATAATCATCAAAACTTAACGAAACTTGTGTATGTGTACAATAACAGCGAGTTTTTCGTATTATCTAATCAGCTGAGGATCTCAAAAGCAAGATGAAATTAGTCTTCTCTTTCGGAAGAGAAATAATTCCTAGGAATCAAAATCATTCTTCTCTAATAAAATATAATTTTATTCGCGGTTTAAAACGAACAACTTTTTGATGCATTTACTATGTTTTCACGTAACAGCTTTTATTTTTTTCGAGGATGTCCATTTTTCCTTATTTATCTCGTTAGAAAGTTTCTATTTCGCTTCTAAGGTCCCCAGGTCCTACTCCTACGAGTGTCAGGACAACAACACCTTTGCCCAGCACTGGCCTTCAGTCCCGACGCAGAAGAAAGAGGATTTTATACTCACGTACACACACCGTCGCGTTCATTACACTCACGAACGATATGATACAAGTAGGCAAGATATACCGAGTGCCCCGGAACCACAAAGAGATTTATAGATGCAAACGAACAATATTTACTTCAATAATGTGGCTTCGATCAGAATACAAACAAAAAAGTCAAGCGAATTATTTCACGGAGTAAGCTGCGCATATAAAAATAATTGACAAATCCAGTGTTAAACGAACAGCAGGGTTTAACCTCGCGCTTTTATTTACGAGAATAACGATTAGAAAATGTGGAAAAAAAAATGATAATAGTTTCGGGACACTCGATACGCGACGTATCCGCGCGAAGGAAAAAGCTCCTTTCCTCTCCCTTTCGCACGTAATATATATTTACAAGAGCAGAAGAAGCTACGAATATAACTTTGTATCCGATATATATATATATATATATAATATATGTATATATGTGTAATGTGTATGTATATAACCGTAGTGCAACTGACGCAACGTCTTGCCGATATAATTATCACATGATCTTCAATACTGTAGATCGACTTCGTTGGGAAAAGGATGAAAGAATAATGTATAATTATTATAATACTATAAATATGTAAATTTTAAATAATGAATAAAAGAAATTTGTCACAGTCACGAAAAGTATAATTGAGAATATGTTTTAAAATTTTATTAATACACCTTATTTGATTTTAATCTACAAATTTGAGCTAAAAGTGACATTTTAAGAGAAGAATATAGTTTAGAAGCACATAATACATAACATTTCATTATTTCGAGATCTTGTTGCATTGCTCTTCGCTGAATTCGTTCAGTCGAATCGTGACGATAACCATCAACAGGCCAGACGTTGCCGTTACAATAAAATACTTAATTTTAGAGGCCAGCTCATAGAAACAGAAAGCCATTGCAGAGATCAAACGCGCTCTCCTTTCTCTCTTTCTTGGCTATCAAACGAAAACGCGTATATGTTTAGGTACATATGTATAGCGGTCTAATAGAGAGTGTCATCTACGTTACGTTAGGTCGGGTTACTTGCTTGGATCCTTTACGGGGAGAGCTTTATAATTATTCGCTCGTACTACGAGTCTCGCAACCACGGGGATAAAAACTGCAAAGTTCAGGCACTGAATTAACTCAAAGCACTCGCGAATCGATCCTCGAGGATCCGCGCGACGGGCGAGTGGTCCTGAAGTCCGATCGACGCGAGCGAAAAGCGGATTCCTTGGCGATCGAGGAACCTCTCTTCTTTTCGCGTCCAACACGCCGGCGACTAATCACCGTGCCGGTACAGTGTGTACAGTGCTAGTTAATTAACAACTTATTTAATTGCTTCTCGCGACGCTTCTTAGTATTGACGAGTAGGTACGAATGTGTGCTGTGCTCTTGGCCGTAAGGTTTGGCAGGTATCGTGGCAAAAAGAATTAGAAGTAGCAAGTTTTTATCATTTTTATTCAATCTTCCTCTCTCTAAGTAAACTAAGAAAAGAGTTCTTTTTATATACTGATTTTTTCAAGACAAGAATTATGATGCAGCAAAAAGGAATATGGGGATTATAATAATAATACAAACGGATATCATCGTTTGAATGCGTAACAAGTGAATAATGTATCTCTAAAATAAAAAGAAGAGCAGATTAAAATATAATAAACGAAATACAGTGGACGATATGTCTGAAATGAAAAACAGGAGAGTATCTCTTGCGGTGAGAACAGTAATTATCTATAATAAGATAGTCGCGAAACCTTGCGTCCAAGTCACTCCGACACATAATAAAATTTTTGATATATTTATATACATATAGAAATTATTATGCATGCCTAGATACGTCTAGATATCACACGCGACTTTGCTGCGTGAACCAAACCCTCCTGACAAGGTTCGAACGAAATGTACTCCTACAATTAGAAAAGTAATCTCATAAAAATACAGATATGTTTACTTTGACGCACTCGCGCTTTGGTACTGGTGTATTGCTCCATTATTGCGGCAAAGTACTCAATTAGTGCGAAAGAAATCGTACGAAACTGATGCAGAAAAAAGAGGTAATTAGAGGAAAACACCTTCTTGAAGTATAAACATTAAGGTCATTAAAATTACGACTAATGTAACAATTATCTCTAATTATTTAAAATAGAAGTCGAATTCTCTTTTCAAAATACTAACAATGCGACGCCTGTTTTACTGATATGAGTAATATTGCAAAAGACATCGCGTCAGATTCTGTTAAAGTAACAGATTCCTACAAACGGCGGATAAATATAAAGACACAATATAAAACAAGTTCTCCGACAGTCTAAAAATTACCTACAGTAAGAAACTTTTAATAAAACGGCTTGAATTATTACTTGCCATTTCTATCAATATTTATAATGCTTATTCCCAGTATTAAAAAGGTTAATGTTAATAACAAAATATACAACAGTTGACAATTTTATAATATATATGCGTAAGCGCGTAAAAGTTTCCAGTTTGGATCACCGAAAGCAATTCTCGTGTAATCTAAGTTTTATTATTAACGTACCGTAACAAAATTTATTCCAAAATCGAGACAGGGATGAGAGTACTTTGCCAATACAGAGCGATTCGTGGGGCAAATCGACCGCCCTCATCACAACCCTCTATACAATCGCCTACTTAACTTAAAGCCTTAATGACTAGATTTCTGATGCCTTAATTAGTGATATGATATTTCCGTTCAGCAATGTAGAACGATTCTCAACGAAAGCGTTAAAAACTCAAAACTTGCCCAGCGGCAATCCACGAGCGAAGGTCCTTGCTGACGGGAAGCCTTCGTCGCGGTCGTGTATCCTCCCTCTTTCTTTCCTCCTAACACTGTGCAATGACTTCTCGCATTCCGAATAAAGAAAGACGCTGTCTTTTCTCTTTCCTCCATAGCACCGACACATCTTCTCACTCTAATTTTATTTCGATGTTGCGACTAGTTGTTCTCCTTGAAGTCCTTATTCTCGACATAGACGGCCATTGTTCTTTTCGCGTGCTTATCTGATCCTTTTCTTTCCACTTCTGCATCTTACGATTTCAACGTCGCGCATCCAGCACCGCGTTTTTCTACCTCCCTCTCCCTTCTTTCCTCGCGATTCGTATTGCCAGCTACGCGCGGAACCTCGAGCGTGTCAGGACAGTCAAGATTCACCTTTCTCAGATAAATCCATCGCGAGAGCTCCGAGGAAATCACTTTGGAAGTCGTTGCCTCTGCCATCCCCGATAAACACCAACGATACTCCGAGTACGATCGAGATCCGACGGGACACCGCGCGATCGGCGATCCTCCATCCTCTCTTATCTTGATCGAGCGTCCCGATCGCCATCGCTGTCAGGAGTTTCGCCGAGCCGCCGTGTCCCGAGACGACACTCTCTCTCTCTCTCTCTCTCTCTCTCTCTTGCCGATATACGCGTGGAAGCCTGTCACGAAGACTCTCGAACACACTCTCGCTCGATCGGTTAGATCGCTACGGCGACACTCGGCAGCGGCTATCGCTCTAGTACATTCCTTGCCTGAAGGGGTTACTGTCCCCGGCCGGCCGTTGATCCGCCGGCTCCGGCCTCCTGAAGGGGTTCACGTCAGCCTGGGCGCCTCGCTGATCCTGACGCTCGGCCGCGTAATTCCTCTGTTGACCATAATCACCAGGTTGAGCGTAGCCAGCCGGTTGATTGTAGACCGGTGGTTGCTCGTGAGCAGGTTGGTTGTAATTAATCGTATTCTGCATGCCGTAACTACGCTGATCATAACTGACTTGTCCTGCCGTCTGATAGTTTTGGTCGTATCCCTGATCGATATTCGTTTCCATACGCGTCTGGTTCAAATGGTTGCCAATCTCGCCAGTGATCGGTCGCTGCTCCTGCAACACGTACGTCTGGTATTCTTTGTCGGGCGGATCCTGCATCAGCACGTTCGCTTCATCCTGGAACGGCTTGAAGTCGTAGATATGACGCAAATAGTAGAGAGCTGGCGCATAGAGCAGATTCGAGAAGGCAATGCCGATGTTCAGGGCGGTGAAACCGATCGCTTCGACGACGCCGCCAGCTATAATCGGACCTACCGCGTATGCCACGCTATACGAGATGTCGGCGATCGCGTAAATGCTGCCGTACACCGACACGTACCTAACGTCCACCAGATAGCCAAGCGTGGGCAGCAGCGCAGTGTCGATGAGCGCGATACCAAAGCAGATGCCGCACAACGGTATCATCAGCACTTTGTACGAGCTGCAGAACGGTATGATGAAGCAGCAGAAACCTTCGAGCGCGAGGCCGCCCGCCGCCATCAGCCACTGATATTGTGGATACTGCTTAGCCATCCTCACGGTGATCACAACACCGATCACGTGCGGGAAGAAGGCCGGTAACCAGATCATGCCGATCTTCCAGTTGTCGTGCGTCATCGTGTCCTCCATCCATAACGAGATCGTCGGCTCGAGGAAGGCAAGTGCGACGTTAGACATCATCAGGGCGCCCGCGCATACAGCGATGTACGGGTCCATCAGCAGCCGCCAGATCGGTATCGTCGACTTGGGCTCGTGATGGCGATCGCGCAACTGTTCCTTGATCGGCTTCATCACCAGCAGTAACATGAAACCGTCCGCCAGGCTGACGAACGCCAATATCAGGAACGGTACTTCCTTGCCGGCGAATTGATAAAGAGCTCCTCCGAACGGCGGCGCGACCAGACAGCCAAAACTGATAAACGCGAGGGCAATGCCAAGCGCCTTCGAGCGTTCCGACTCCTCCGTAAAACGATCGGCGATCATAGCAAGACCGGCGGTATCGGCGAACGCGGATCCGACGCCCTGCAAGCTTCTCGCGAAGAACAGCACGCCGTAGCTTTTACCGCACGCGAATACACTGGTCGAGAGGAACATGATGCTGAGACCGATCATCATGGGGATGTCGTAGCCGATCCGATCGATTAGCGCGCCGGAAAACGGATTCACCATCAGTTGCACGATCGCTTTCGATGCGAATAACACCCCCGTGGCAGAGTCCTGGCCGGGATGGCTAACTGGGCCGCTACCGTTGACCGGCTCTTCTATCTCTCCGAACGCGCCGACATATTTAAGGTAATCGGGTATAATCGGTACTATCACCATATACAGCATGTTGTCCAGTAGTAACGCTATCGAGACGATGACCAGGATCAGCTTACGCTGAGCCTTCGGCTCCTGCAGCTTCGTCCAGACGATCTCCTTGAGCTCGCCGAATTCCATGTTGAGTATCGGTATCGTCGTCATGGTTCCTAGGTAGTCGCCCGCAAAGTGCGACCGGCGTCTTCCGGGATTTTTTTGTGTGTGTCTTAGTGGAAGGGACTAACCGCGGTCACAACCAGTCGTGCGACCTCGGGAAGCGAGCGTGACGAGGAGATCGTCGCGATTGGGGCGGCGCGCATCAGGCCGGGCCGGGGGTAACCTACAACAGATCACCGATTTGGCAACGATTAGCTCGCGGAAATAAATTGACTTGACGTGCGCGCACGTGCACGCGCTAAAAACACGCTACCGCGCTTCTACGCGACGACAAACCGCTTCGCGAGAACGCGAAATCGAAGAAGCGACTCGGGACTGAGGGAAAAAGTTGCCGAGGAGAAGATAGGGGAGCCCTGACCCGGCCTGTGGTCAGCGCGAACGACATCCGTCGACTACCCATCACTCAACCCTCCCAACCCCAACTTTTTAACCCCGCGAACATCATGAACAATGCCGACATGAACTACACCGTCTTGCGTGCGGGAAAGAAACACGTTGCGGAAACGCACGCCCGCACTTGGCTCGGCTTTTCTTCGTAGGCTGCGCTCCCCTCTCACGCGCGTGAAAGAGAACACGACACCGGATGAAGGCTCCCCCACGATAAGGCGCCGCGAGATCGACTCTGTGTACCTGAGTGAGCCTTGCTATATCGTGTATCGCATTACGGCGGAGATAAAAACAGCACGAAAAAAAGCGTTGAGAAAACAAGAGGGTGACGTGTTTGTCATCAGGGTCGTCGCTAATCATCTCACGAGTGTTAAGTGCAGAAAGAAATAGCTCGATAGTAATTGTGAGCGATATTGTTTTTCGTTAAGTTGTCGATCGTTGAAATAATTACGTAAAATGAAAAATGAACGATGTTACGAGATTAAAGTGAAACACGTACATCAAATAACTCAGTCAAGGTCAAAAGATCAGTTTTGCTTAAAAATTTAATTATTTAACTTGCACCCCTTATTCATCGTCATTTTTTGAAGTCATGGAAGGTTACTAATTAAAATAGCTAAAATAATTTAAAAAGAGAATTTTACAAAAGAGAATTGCGCTGAAGCAGCCATTTTCTTCTTTGAGATGCAATTCGCTAATTCTTTTTGAACCTCTCTCCTACAGGTTTTCGCTTTTCATGTTTCTTTTGAACTACCAGGGTAAAAGTGCAAAAGCACGTTAAAAGATAGCAGATTTTAATTACACTTAACGTTGTGACATACATAATGGTGGCCTCGCAAGATTTCAGGTAGAAAAAACTGAGGTGACATTTCGCAAATTGGCAAGTGTAATTGATAAAAAGTGAATTTATCAACACTTTTTTTCCAAGATTTTCAGCAATCTAGGTTAACAGTCTATCAGATTTAACTCTTTTTTGGAGAAATAAATATTTTGCTTAGCGGAGAATCGCACAGTTTTATTGTTCTATTTTTTATTATTCCATCCACTACCCTGATTTGTCTCTTTTACGAAAGTAACAGGATGCGCGGGTCGATTGTAAATCATTATAATATCACGTGGGCTAATATTTAAACTGGGACCTCGGACGATCATCCGAAACGATCGCGTGACAGTTCGATTCTTCTCGCGTTTGCGAAATGGCGCCTGTCAATCGTCGTTGTCGCCATGACTCTTGTTAATGGTGCAACGCGATCGATCGATAGGCTCCATTATCGCGCAACTCCCTGATGTACGAAAGAAGACCACGTGTGAAAAAAAAAAAAACCGCTTCACCGACTCACCGGAGTTGCTGGCGAATTTCTGCCTGAGGGAGTTGGCGAGGCGTTGGGGGCCCGCCAAGGTCGGAAGACCGGCGAGCAGGCCGCTCAAAGTCGAGGCGACGTCTGATCCGTCTTCGTCCTTCGAGTCGTTCACCGACTCCTTGACTCCTCGCGTCCCCGGGCCCTCCACCTTTTCAGCCGAATTTACAACCGAGTCTGCAACGGTGACAACATTTTCCAACCGTTTAAAATTCGCGTACCATCGAAAAGGATAACGATAAAAATTCGTGCATTCACCCCAATATATGTAGGTACAATTTTACGAATCTGTTCACGAAATTGGCATTATCTCCAATGAGCTCGTCATGTGGCATCTTCAATTAGGATCATGAATTATTATATATACATATTCGAACATTATCCTCAATTTAGGTCAAATATTATTAAGTCGAAAGAAAGAAGATTAGTGATCTGGAAACAACCAAGTGGTTCAGTAACTCGCGTTTAAGTAGTTCTTTTCTATCGCAAAAATTCTAATAGAAAATAATAGATTAAGCATTACGAGACTATATACGCATTAATAATGCAGTTACGTGTGAAGGTATAATTCGTGCCCGTTTCGCAGAGGGATACGTTGGAGGGGTGGGACAGAGTCCGTCGACCTTCGAGAGTTAAAATTCATCATCATCATATTTTTAACCCGCCGCAATCGCGCGCGAGGTATTACATCGTACAACGCGTCTCCGTACTCTACATATTCTATCGTATATATACTATCGACACAATTTTTACTAACCTTTCTATTATCTTATGTACGCGTTACCAATGGGCGGATTTAAATTTAGCGTTTGTGCATCTATCTATAACGTCCCGTGTCCCATACCGTGCACATTTGAGGAGAAAACCGGGCATTACACATGTGCGTAACTTCCCAAGGTAATTTTTGCTCCCCCTCGCCGCATCGCAATATAGTTATTTGGCAGCCACGTGTTATTTCGTGCTCCGTTGTTTGTAGGAGAGTTGCGACAGATATACCCCTATTACCGCGTTCGTGTGATTGCAAATTTCAACGAAAACAGAGATTTTCTTCGGCGATGATTGGACCGCGTTACACAACGGCGAGCTGTACTCGAGGAATTTGGATTGACTGGCTTAACGAAAACGATGTACACTGCGATTTATAAAATTTCAATTCCCAACCTCGTAAATTTTACTGACGGTAAACGTTATTTTATTAAACAATTATTAATCGTAATAGTAAAACAGAAATGTAAAAAATCGAATCTCTCATCAATCTTGATCTAAAATCCGATCGTAATATTAATTATTTAATGAAAAAAACGTTGCACTAAAATGTGTAGACATTTTTCCCTCAAAATTCTTGTAATCTGCTAGCGAAGTATTTTTTAAGTTACATTCTAGACTTTCGAGTGAAATTTACGCCGCAGACAAAAAATTTAACAAATAATAACAGCTTTGTCGCAATAAATAAAAATAGATTTCTGGTTAAAATATTGAAATAAAATTGGAGAATAGACAATTATACGGAGAATGTGATATTATTTGTAAAAATGTGTACACACACACATACACAGCTATACATGTAACTATATACATATATACGACTCTAATTATTGTTCCAAGTGACATTTAAGCAAAGTAAGCCAGAAGAAAGTGTAAAAATAAATCTCGTGAAAGAACATTGTGCACTGTAAAGAAGCTGCGGAAGAAATATAAAATAAATTTTATTAAAAATTCAAAAAAATTATTGCTTTATGAAAATAACTAATTATTTTAATACTCTCTAAATATGAACCAAATTTAGAAAATTAAATATTAATAAGAAATAGCTGAGAAAATCAGAAAATCCTTTAACACAATTTGATATTGGCATAGTTTCAATATGAAACTTCCAGAAATTAGTCGAGGAGATTTCAGGAGACGAGGAGAATTCATGAAAGGATCAAGCAATACCCAAGAGGCGAGGGAGAAGAAAGCATTGTAAATAAATACACAGGAATCACGTCTGTGTGTGAACCGAAAATTACCGATCCTGTGAAACGCGCGGGTCGTGCATCGAAACACCCAGGGAGAAATTCCGCCGCGAGAACACGCACGCATCCCTTTCATGAGAATAAGGCAATGGCGAGAATTGGGAGAATGGAGAGCACGAGGAACACAGAGAACAGGAGCAGCAGGGAATGAAATCGGTCTGGATACTTACTAAGACCGAAGGGCTCCCAATGGCAGGGGCGTCTCGGCGTGTCTCTCCGTCGGGGTGGCTTTGGAACGTCTGCCCTCAGAGTCCTCCCCGCCACCGGGTCGTCGCGGCGCCCTCTCTCACCGTCGCGACGGCGGCGACGGTCGCCGCGGAAGGCGCGGCAGGGCGCAGCCGCGGCCGCCAGGATCCAGGGATTGGCGGTGGTAAGGCCGTGCGTCAGCCCCCAAACCCTCCACCATTGACTATATGGTACCCTCCGCCGCATCCTCCGGGGGTGGACGGCGGAGAAGAGCGGCACGGAAGAGGGTACAGGCGGGGGAGGGCGAGACCAGGTATAACGACGGTCGATGTTGCGCGGTATTTCTGGCGTCAGGTCGATACCGGCCTCACCTGTGTGCGAGGCAACTGTGGGCTGCCTGCCTGCCTGCCTGCCAGCTTACCAACCACCCCGCATCGAAGGGGTTCTCGAACGTGTTCCCGCTCCCCCTAGCCAGTGGCTCTTCGAACGGTGGATCGTCAACCCTCTCGCGTGCGCCTTCCCGTTGCCATCACCTGCTCGCAGTTAGGGTAAGGGTAAAGGTGAAATTGCGAGACCCTGCCACGAGTGGCGACTCGACCGTGAGTGTAGCGCGCTCAGTTTTCCAGGAGACATCGCCACCCGTGCTCTTCTTCCTTTCGTCTTCGCAACTATCAGGCTCTCAGGGGAATTACGATCGTTCGCTGCGGCGTTTGATGCGTTCTAGCGCGTTTCGGCATCATGGTGAATGTCACGCCGGCATCGGCAACGATAATGGCCGCGAGCGGAGTTTCGATACTGTTACGCATCAGTCAACATTCGCTCGTCGCTGATTATTGAATCGCGAAATCGACCAGATCGTATTCGACTTTGTTCGCATTCGTTTATTCTTTGCGAAACTTTACTGTGTAAACTTATGAAATAAATTTCCTTGCAAATTCTTTCAATCGCGTAATAGATTAATAGCAATTACAGTAGTTACACGATTAATCTATTACGCAAGTTTGCGGTACCACCTAATACTTGATGTTAAATGCAGCATTAAAGTCTCACGAGACGCTGCTTTTTTCCTCTGGTTTGAATCGATAAACTACGATGATGGCACAGACACGGCAAAATAAAATACAAAAAATTTTTGATCTAGAAATTAGATATAATATTTTGACGCTCTGAATCCAAATTCGATGTTTAAATCACAGCATCACATGTCACAATTATCAACGGAAAATATCTCAAGTTTTAAATATTTTCAACCAACTTGCATATTAACTCTATAAGTTACATGTTGAACTTACTCTCTTTCTCATTTTTACCTCAATTTGTATACAAAAAAAAAAACACACTATAAATGTGTATGAGACCCTAAAAATACAGGAATATCGAGTTATTTTCCGTTAATAAAAAACTGTGACGTGATGGAGCAATTTGAAATTTTAAAGCGTCGAAAGGCATAAGAATATTATGACTTAATCTCTAAATTAAACATTAATTTCTTTATGTATCTGTAATTGTAATTCTTTTCTCATCCTTGTTGACGAACGATATTAGAAGGATCGTCGTAAAATTAAATTAAATCAACAAAATTTTTCTCTTATTTTTATATTATAGAAGAATATATGGAGAAAACCAGGCAAATTTTACTGCTAACTGTGTTGGAGATTACTGTCGTTTTTCGCGTTAATGGGATACATTGAAAGGACACAACGGAGTCAATGGCAGTCATGTAGCTGCGCACGAGCGGGTTCAGAGTCAGTAATGTTCGAAGGGAAATGCGAGAGGTCAAAAGTCGGGCGATTGAAACTGCGTAACAGATTCGCGTTACCGTGCTCGCTTCACTCCTGCGTAAACCGATCAATTTTAATCATCGCAGATAAGGTCAAAGGTATTTTTATATTGGTCTCGGGCAAAACGAACACGTGTGTGTTACTCGATACCCTATCAAAAAAGAAAACTCAATACTCTTCGCAATCACTTACATATGACACTCAACAGCTCTGATTACTTTTATATGACAATATAATATTTCCTGGCTCGATTTATAGTCTTTTTTATATTTATCTTTATATTTATTTTTATCAAAGTCTCCCAAAATGTGAAACACTCCAACGCAACGTTCGAATAAATCGTATTTAAAATTAATTTGAAATTTATTGTAGGTGGATTAATTGGAGATTTATGAAAAAGTTTAATTTGAAATTTATTGTGGGTGGATTAATTAAAAATTTATTAAAAAGCTTTGGTTAAATGTTACAGAGAATTGTTGCGTTAATGTACTTGATAAGTCCGTGTACAAAAAATGTTTGAACAAATGCAGAAAATCTCTTACTTTTTAACCCAAGTTTTATATGCTGTTGTTGTAAATATAATAATAAAAGTTCAGTAATTCATAAATTTTAGATTTTATAAATTGCAATTGTAAGTAATAAATTTATTGATTACAAAATCAGCAAAAAATATGTTTAATAATTCTCAACAAGATTGCATGGGTAAATTTCTTTGGATATTACTCTATGCACGTCCATTGAAGTTTCCAATGTTGAAGCTATAAAGCTGAGGAGTTTCTAGGAGTTTCTAGAAGTTTGACGATGAACAAGTAACACCATCTATTATTATACCTCTGCCGTCACTCAAGCTAAAGCTGACTTCTCCATATTCTATCAACCATAAAATCTCGGAAAACAACTTTAGACATAACTAATCAAGATAGCTAAACACAAAAGTTATTTTTTATCGTTTTGTAAATCATGAAATTAACATCGTGCAACATATGTTTCGCGTTACGAAATATTATAAATATGATAATATTCATATAAAAATTAATTATATAGATAATATTTTAATACCTAATGATTATAGAATTTGACGAGATCGTTTAATGTTGTAATAAAAATAAGTTCACAGGCAAATGTGCAACTGATGGATATGAAAATTCGCAGGGGAGGTTGTACTATTACTATAACGATATTCTTACCCTTAGCTTACGACGCCCTTCGTGTTACGTGGCAGGCGTCATTGCCTGCGAACGATCGAACGTTAAATTAAGACTGTTTCTGACATCGGGCTGGAACGTCGTGTCATTCGTCCAATTCATTTGATGACATCGCCAGATGATACGTCGCGCGATTATGAGTGACAGGATAATTGGCGAATGAATTAATAAACGGAGATATAGGGTTTCTCTTTTAAACGCGGGTTTTCTCTAAACACTATTGTTTTATGAAAACTAATTGCGCGCGGCGGTACAAAATACCTATTATGTTCTGAGAATTTTATCCATTCCTTCTTCAAATTAATGCTAATTGGATTACGCTGTAGCTTCAAGATGAAATGGTAATTAGTAACCAAATTAACAAATGATCAAGGAAACTGGTCAGGTTTCTAGAATCTAATAATTAACGAGAACAGCGACGGTTTCGAAGCTAAGTGAAATTGAAATTCTTCCCTTCGATTCGTCATGTAATACACTGTTAAATACAAGAGAAATAATGGTAACATAATCTTTTATATAAGTTAGATAAGATTTTGTTATTTTTAACTACTTCGTGTGTCAAAATGCAAATTAATCCAGTTTTGTGATTAAATATTGCAAAGTGAATAACGTCCATATTACATAGCATGCACTTAGTGATAATGAAATAAATTTTTGTAAGTCAAATTTAATATACTAGCCTTTTCCTGCGCGCGGTAAGCACGCGATTCAGAATTATTGGGGATACACAAACAAATCTGGAAAAGACCAAACTGGTTTGTTAATCCCCCTAAAATTACAACGTAGGTTCTTTCTTTACTTAATTTTTTAAAAAATTTAAGCATTTATACATTCTTAAAATTTTTTTCCGGATTTGTCTAATTTATGAGATTATTATTTGTTTTTTCCTTTTTTTCCGTTAGTTTTAATTAACTGTCTTCATTTTAAATTATTGATTTTTGTATTTTTTTTATTTTTTTATTTTTCCCCGCTTCTTGAAATAGTCATGAAGATGATGATTTTCGTCTTCTTTTAATCTTATTCAGTTGTTCTTCGTTTTTTTTTGATATTTTTCATTCGTATTTTTTCGAAAAAATCATTAATTTAGTAAAATGAATTCTCAAGCAATCGATACGAACTCGAAAAATAATCACTTGCGGATGCTACAATTTTTTTTTGTGCATAACTTTTTTTTGGAGGGTGGACAAATGAAAATAACGGGTGGACAAACGTGGACAAACAGTGGACAAACAAATGCAATAATGATTTTACCAATATTTGCATTTAGAGGTTCCAACTTCACAAAGCAGCTCTGTGAAGTGGGCACCCCTAAATGCGAATATTGGTAAAATCATTATTGCATTCGTTTGTCCACTGTTTGTCCACGCTTGTCCACCCATTATTTTCGTTTGTCCACCCTATGTTTATTATATTTTTCGTAATAGTGTAAAATAATCACTTGAGGGTGTTACAATTTTTTTTGTGTATAACTTTTTGTTGGAGGGTGGACCAATGAAAATAACGGGTGGACAAACGTGGACAAACAGTGGACAAACGAATGTAATAATAATATTACCAATATTCGCAATATTTACAGATTCCAACTTTACAGAGCTGCTTTGTGAAGTTGGCACCTTAAATGCGAATATTGATAAAATCATTATTGCATTCGTTTGTCCACTGTTTGTCCACGTTTGTCCACCCGTTATTTTCATTTGTCCACCCTCCAAAAAAAAGTTATGCATAAAAAAAAATTGTAACACCCCCAAGTGATTATTTTACATTATTACGAAAAATATAATAAAAATAGGGTGGACAAATGAAAATAATGGGTGGACAATCACGTGCCCGTTGTGGACAAACGATACCCGTACATAATTATGAAAAATTATCACTTGGGGATGTTACAATTTTTTTTTGTGTATAACCTTTTTTTGCGGGGTAGACCAAAGAAAATAACGGGTGGACAAACGTGGACAAACAGTGGACAAACGAATGCAATAATGATATTACCAATATTCGCATTTAGGGGTGCCAACTTCACAGAGCGCTACGCGCGCGATTCTTTTTTTTTTGAACGACCATATAATTTTCTTTTACAAAATTTACACCAAAGCATAGTCGATTAAGCTTTAAATTATAATTACATTTCTTTGCGTCTTATTAAATTCGTCATATTCGGAAAATCTTATTGATTTCCGCAACATTTCCGTCTGCCATATTGAATTTAAAAATTTGGAACACGGAATCAAAATCAGCGTTCGCGGTAACCCTCATTTAC